ATAAAAATGACAAAATAATTCAAAAACTAAAACGAAATGAAACTAACAACAGTTATTGAAAAACTAACTGAAATGAAATTATAATAATAAAAATAAATAATCGTTTTAGTAATCATTACGTTCTCAGCCCTTGGCGGAAAAATATATGTGTGGGCTGTGTGGCGGTTTAGGGAAATCCCCTTAAATGGCTCATCGCGCACGTGAGGTTATCTGACGGAGAGACGCAAAGCAGTTTAAAGCAGAGTCGTGGACGGGTCCTGTTTGGTAAATGTACACCAGCAATACTTAACAGAACACCTGACCCATTATCTGACAGCAGCACTAATTTAATTCTGTACCAGACCAGACCCGTTTGACAAAGACCGCGATTCGCGACCCAAACCGCACTCGCATTCGCATTAAATCTATTACATCAGGTAAGCATGATTATTTATTTTCTCATGTAACACAAGCAATCAAACCAAAATTAGGCATTCTAAGTTGGTGCTTTGAAGAAAAATAGGCACCCAGCGCAACGTAATAATTAACAGAAAAAAAGACGAGAACGTGCATCCTTTCTGAAAACAATACAAAACTTTAGCATAGCATCACTCTGCCAGACTTTTGAACAAATGTGCATAGGCTAAATCACATCATAAACACGCTTATAATAATTAATAAATGAAAAGCACAAATTAAAATGAGCCTTTACTGTTAAATGCAATTGCTGTTATTATTGGATTTCATTAGTCCCAGTTATGATTTATGCGCAGTTATTCATGGAAAAGTGAGCAAGACACGACAGTTACAATATATTATGACTGTTAAAAAAGAAAAAAGACATCTAACTGTCATAACCAAATTAGGCTAAATGTATTGTCATATTAAATATCTCAATACACATCAGATGACATTAAGCACAACTTGTGTAGATTTATTTAGTAAAAAGGCTTGACTGCTTCATTTTGGCGTATATTTATATACTTTTACCTTTTAATCAATCTCAGCATGCGTTAATTTTGTGTCGCTAGACATTTGCATCACTAAATCTAAATTATGCCTTATTGCCTTTTATGCTTTCTTTGGCCTGCGCTCTGGAAGTGATCTGTTAATTATGCTAAACTTTAATTAAAACTGAAACTAAAACTGAAACTAAACTATATAAAAACTAAATAAAATGCGTTCACAAAATAAAAACTAAACTAAAACTAACAACAATATTAATGAAACTAATAAAAACTAAACTGAATTGTATAGCACATTTGAAAATGATATTAAAATAAAACTAATTTAAAAATTCAAAACTATAATAACCTTGCTGCGTACATACTAAAAGATTTTTAAAATCTTATAAGATCTTCAAGATGTGAAAGACCACAAACATGAGGACAAAAATTCCTAGATTTAACCATTTTGCTCCTATAGTGTGTGGTGTCCTTGGGGTTTCCCCCTCACATCAGGATTTCTGATCGTAAATACATATTCAACATGTTGAATATTTACGATTCGCGATCGGGACGCCTCCGATGTTCTTCCGAGCAGATTCAGTCACTCTTAACACACCTCACACCACAGGAAAATCTGATAAGATAATCTTTAGAACCACCAAGATAATCGGGACATTACCTAGGATTGTCGGAAGGGAGAAATCGGCCCAAAATCAGCCCGATTATCTTGTGATGTGTACCCAGCATTATGAGCTTAGATGGAATAGAGTCTAACATACATGCTGTTTGTTTAGATGATTTAACAAGTTTATACAACTACTCCTCTCCTATAGTAGAGAATGAGTGGAATTGTTCCTCAGGGGATCTATAGCACACTATCTGATGTGATACTGTAGCTGACGGCTGCATGGTTACAATTTTATCTCTTGTAAGTAAAGTAGTTCATAAAGTCATTACTGCTGTGCTGTTGGGAAATGTCAACACCTGTTGATGATTTATTTTTCATTAATTTAGCCACTATATTGAAGAAATACCTGGGGTCATGTTTGTTTTCTTCTAAAAGAGATGAAAAGTAACCATATCTAGCAGTTTTTAATGTTTTTCTGTAGGATAGGGTACTTTCCCGCCGAGAAATATGAAATACCTCTAGTTTTGTTCTCCTTCAGGTGTGCTCCATTTTCCAGGCTGCTCTCTTTAGGGTGCGAGTGTGCTCATTATACCACAGTGTCAGACTGTTTTCCTTAATCTTCCTTAAGCGCAAGGGAGCAACCGTATCTAAAATGCTAGAAAAGAGAGAGTCCATAGTTTCTGTTACATCATCAAGTTGTTCTGAGGTATTGGAAATGCTAAGGAATTTAGATCAATCAGGAAGATTACTTACAAAGCTGTCTTTTGTGGTAGAAGTGATCATCTTTTTCATTATCAACATGGATATTAAAACCACCAACAATTAAAACTTTATCTGCAGCCAGCACTAACTCGGATATAAAATGAGCACATTCTTTAATAAAGTCTGTATGGTGGCCTGGTGGCCTGTATACAGTAGTCAGTACAAACATCACAGGGGATTTATCAGTAACCCTTGTTTCTCTGGACAATGTTATATGAAGCACCATTATTTCAAACGAGTTATACTTGAAGCCCGCCTTCTGAGAAATACTGAAAATATTGTTATAAATTGTAGCAACACCTCCCACTTTACCTTTTGGACGTGGCTCATGTTTATAACAGTAATCTTGGGGGGTAGACTCGTTTAAAATAATGTAATCATCAGGTTTTAACCAGGTTTCTGTCAAACAAAGCACATCTAGGTTATGATCAGTGATCATATAATTTACAAAAAGTGCTTTCGTAGAAAAGGGCCTAATGTTCAGTAGGCTAAGCTTTATCATTTGTTTATCCATATTACATCTGTTTTTTATTTGTTGAACATCAATTAAATTGTTACTCTTAAATTGGTTTGGACATTTTTTGCATTTTCTAGATTGGGGAACAGACACGGTCTCTATAGTGTGATATCTACAGGGCTCTACATTGCGACCATTTCAGTTGCATTTGCGACTGAAAACTACTGCGTGCGACTATAAACATTTTTTTAGGAGCACCAGTGTGACTGACCCGATCATCATCATACTTGTGACTGCGCTCAGGGGAGCTTCAAATGTTTCTACATGTTTTTGGAGCGTTGAGTAATGTATCACAGACATATCTCACGAATCCTTTCATAAGCAAAGTGAGAGATTCATTGCGCAGTGTAGAGAGCTTCGTTGATTATATCGTTTAAAATAATGTAATCATCAGGTTTTAACCAGGTTTCTGTCAAACAAAGCACATCTAGGTTATGATCAGTGATCATATAATTTACAAAAAGTGCTTTCGTAGAAAAGGGCCTAATGTTCAGTAGGCTAAGCTTTATCATTTGTTTATCCATATTACATCTGTTTTTTATTTGTTGAACATCAATTAAATTGTTACTCTTAAATTGGTTTGGACATTTTTTGCATTTTCTAGATTGGGGAACAGACACGGTCTCTATAGTGTGATATCTACAGGGCTCTACATTGCGACCATTTCAGTTGCATTTGCGACTGAAAACTACTGCGTGCGACTATAAACATTTTTTTAGGAGCACCAGTGTGACTGACCCGATCATCATCATACTTGTGACTGCGCTCAGGGGAGCTTCAAATGTTTCTACATGTTTTTGGAGCGTTGAGTAATGTATCACAGACATATCTCACGAATCCTTTCATAAGCAAAGTGAGAGATTCATTGCGCAGTGTAGAGAGCTTCGTTGATTATACATGTGAGATCAAGATTAACTAAGATGAGTGCCAGCTTTTAATAATTTTAAAAGGAGTTTGTAAATGTGATACTGATTTAATACAATACAATTCAATAAACAAAAAGTTAGTGCTCCTAAAAAGAAAAGTAAACGTAGAGCCCTGATCTAGGTGAAAGAGTCTCTATGTGCTGAGAATTAACTGATTTCTGTGATGTGAGGCAGCTAGCAAACGGTTGGTTTAGCCAGTTTGTCTGCTTCCTGACCTTGGCCCCAGTTAGTTGAGTTCAAACTCAAAGACTACATGCCATATTTCTAGACAGAAGAGTGGCACCACCCCAGGAGGAATGAAGACCATCTCTTTTCAACAGGTCAGGTCTGCCCCAAAAACTCATCCAATTAGAAAACAAAACAGGTTAACAATCAACAGCAATCTGTTTGAGTGTGTGCACATCTTTTATAGTGTGTGACTGATGAGCTAACAAGTCACATGTGAATACAATCAGAGATAATGAGTCCAGGCAAAGGATTATGGGGAATGTAGTAGTGAGGGAGTGACAACAGTCTGGGGTGAATGGCAAAGGTTTCTAACTCTTTCAATATATATTAACCAAGGATCCATTAAACATAATTTATAATTTACCTTTGAAAAGCTTTACAAATGTAACTAAAATGTATAAAAAATATAAAATACTATCATCAAATATGAACAATTCCTAGATATACAATTTTATGGAATAGAGCCTTGTTTGAGAAAAAAAGTTTGCAAAAGGAAAATATAAGTTTGCAAAAGGCTATAAGTTTGCATATGAAAAAATAGAGGAAACATTTCCCAAAGGTACCCAGTCAGATTTTAAAATCACATTTACTGGATCAGAGAATCTCTTCCTGAGCACAAGTTCTTTGTGTATTTTTACACAATTAATTTGTAGCCCTTTTTTGTTGCCCTGACTGTTGAGTGAGAAATGTGGCTTATTAGTGATAGCATGATGAGGATTGTGTGTTCAGCCAGTGATGAATGCTAGCTATAGGAGCGCATGATGTAATTCACCCATTTTGTCTTTGTTTTGAAAAACAACAACAACATGGTTTAACAGATTCATAGTTTTGAGAAATGGACTCTTTTGGACAGGGTCATTGTTAGTTAGGATGTCTGGCTAACAGAATAGATGTAGAGGAGTGATAAAACTGGGAGGAGGTTGAGTTCAGCATGAACTCGAGAGTGAATTTGATTCGAATCATACAGAAGATGGTTGATGTTGGACAGTTTTCCTCTTCTCTCCCCATTCCAGAATTACTCGGGAGCACTTAGGAGAGCAGGAGGTGTCCATCTCGCTTACCATAGATGCCGTGGAGGACAGTGACCTGGGAAACTACTCCTGTTATGTGGAGAATGGCCATGGCAGAAGACAAGCCAACATCCAGCTCAGCAAGAGGGGTAAGAGACACTGAAGAAGACTGAGCAGCGCTTTCTAATGTTTGAAAGCATCGTTTGTTCAGCTGTGAGCTGCTCAAAACTCTTCTGTGCCAATTCTTTAGTCTTCTATTCAGTTTATTCAAATTCTTATGAAGGAACATACATGTCAGGTCAAGTCATCTTTATTTCTATAGCGCTTTATAGAATACAGATTGTGTCAAAGCAGCTTCATAGTGTTAAACAGGAAAATAGTGTGTCAATAATACAAACAAAATTCAATTCTGCTGTAAAGCAGCTCTAGAAAGAGGACAAGAGTCAACAGTCAATATTTCAGTTAAAGTTAGTTCATCGTTGATTCAACTGAGTTCAGTTCTCTTCCAGTAGTATCTGTGCAGTCATGTCGATAGTGCTGTCAAAAGTTCAGTGAACATTATCAAGGCCTTTTTCCAGTAACACAGTTTTGTTTTATGTTTTATATTGTAGAGCAGAAATGATGTCCATGTGGCTCAACAATCATTAACCGGCTGCTCTCAGTTTTGGTGAAAAATAAGCCAATGTTAAAGTAATGTACTGTAAAATCCAGTTGTAATTGGTCAATGTGATCAGTCTATGGCAACCAATATCCTTTTTTCCATGTCTGCACTTGTTGATTGTGAATGATGCTTCTTAACATCTTGCACCCTGCTTAGCTGGAGATTTCGGCAACATTAAGGTTAATTTCCTTCTTAGAGACCTAGTTGCCTTTAGTTGAGAATATTTTTACATAAATCGTTTCTCTTTTAAAATATGAATCTGAAAAAGGCTTTGATGGCAGACTGATCCTCTTCATTCTGTACATGAAAGAGATTGGGCAGATTATGCTGCAGTTGAGATTCACTCTTCACTCTGATGTTTATTTCATGCCTGCAGTGATCTGTTAGTAAATACACATCTGTATGGACTGATTCTACTCCACTGCGGCCCTTGAGACTTGTTTTTCTTTTAAATCCAATGGTTCAGATAATGGAAATAGAAACATCTGTTTGCCTAAGAATACATGTCCTGTTGAACCAACATCCGAGGGTTATGCTGTTAATCACCAGTTACCTTCAGATCCCAAAACCTGCGGGATTGATCGACACTTTGACACTTCCTTCCCCAGCAGACACACTGAGAGTTCAAGGAGTTAAACGGCACAACTCGACTTCCCAGCAGATGCATCAATGAGGCCGTTTCCTCGGACAAACAGTGAATTTATTAACTTCCATCCTTCATTCCAGAACATTGAATACAAACACACAAAAGCAGCCGTCATCTCTGCTCTCTGACATGATCCACTATGTCACCGCCGATGAACAGAGCTGCTGATGCAGACTTGACGCAACATGAGAACATGAGGCCGACGTCTGTCAGGTATACCTCAGCATTAACTCTGCCCAGTTATAGAGGATTAATCTTCATCCGGCCTCTGCGGCCGAGCAGAGACGAATGATCCTCTTCCATTTAATATCACAGCAGCGATGGGACTTTCTCAGATTCTCAGCTCGCATACAGACACAGAAGAAGAACATCACAAGCACAGGTGTGATCAGCCCCTGAATCTCTGATGTGCTCTCATTCCTCTCTCTCTCTGGCGGGAACTACCTGCACTTCAGTGGGGGACAGTAACAGTATTTTCACTTACATACTGTACTTAAGTACATTTTTCAAGTATCTTTACTTTTTATTTTTAGTATTTTTATTTAGAAACTTGTCCTTCACAACATTCCAAAGCATAATATTGTACTTACTCCACTACATTTCTTAAAATCATGTTGTTCCTCATTTTGAACAGGACAAATTGTCACCCACTCCATGGAATGCCAAACCTGACAAAATTAGAAATAAAGAAATATACAAAGAAATGTACAAAGAAAAGTAAAACTAAATAAATATGTATACTTTTCTGTCCTTATTTATGAATATATTTTCATTTTTTCCACATTTATTTATTTTTATTTTATTTATTTCCACATGTATGCATTTATTTACGTATTTATTTATATATTATTTATTTCCACATCTATTTATTTCTTCATTTATTTATTTACACATTTATTTTCACATTTATTTATTTACATTTCATTGTCCGTAGGGTAATGAGGAGTGCGTGTTTTACCTCAGGAATAGTAATGAGCCAGAGTAGGCGAGTTGTAAGCTTTGAGGCCACAGTGACACCTTGTGTTGCCCAAATGAAATACATAGTTTAGCCTACATGACAAAGATATTTGCGAATCCATTTGCTTTCGGACAAACACTTCCTGTTTACTTTACAACTTGCAGTGGTTCATACAGCTCCGTACATTCACAATGAATAATAATTTAGCTATTAATAAAATACTATTTACAGACAAGTGGAAATAAAAAAATAGTGGAAATAAATAAATAAATAAATAAATAAAAGAAAAAATAAATAAATGTGGAAAAAAGAAAACATATATAAATAAGTAAAAGTATAAATAATTATTTATTTTAATTTATTTTCTTTTCTTTGTATATTTATTTTTGAAATACATAGTTTAGCCTACATGACAAAGATATTTGCGAATCCATTTGCTTTCGGACAAACACTTCCTGTTTACTTTACAACTTGCAGTGGTTCATACAGCTCCGTACATTCACAATGAATAATAATTTAGCTATTAATAAAATACTATTTACAGACAAGTGGAAATAAAAAAATAGTGGAAATAAATAAATAAATAAATAAATAAAAGAAAAAATAAATAAATGTGGAAAAAAGAAAACATATATAAATAAGTAAAAGTATAAATAATTATTTATTTTAATTTGTTTTCTTTTCTTTGTATATTTATTTTTACATTTATTTATAGAGGTCCTGACTCATGGCACTTCTCGTAAAGAGTAGGGGTGTAACCCCGGTGTCCTGGCCAAATTTTCCCCCCTGGCCTTTGTCAATCATGGCCTCCTAATAATCCTGAACCACTTGATTGGCACTATGACTCTCTCTACTCTCCACCTTTAACTGGTGTGTGGTGAGCGCACTGACGCCGTTGTCCTGTGGCTGCCGTCGCATCATCCAAGGGGATGCTGCACACTGGTGTTGGTTGAGGAGAGACCCCCCCACATGATTGTTAAGCACTTTGGGTGTACAACAATACACAATAAAGTGCTATATACAGTAAATGCATCAAGTCAAGTCACCTTTATTTATATAGCGCTTTTACCAATACAGATTGTGTCAAAGCAACTGAACAGCATTAATTAGGAAAATAGTGTGTCAATAATGCAAAATGACAATAGTAAACACTAATTTTTCAGTTAAAGGCAGTTCATCATTGAATTCAGTGATGTCATCATCCAGCTCAGTTCAGTTTAAATAGTCTCTGTGCAATCAAGCCCACATTATCACTGGAAATGAAGTGTCCCCAACTAAGCAAGCCAGAGGCGACAGCGGCAAGGAACCAAAACTCCATCGGTGACAGAATGGAGAAAAAACCTTTGGAGAAACCAGGCTCAGTCGGGGGACCAGTTCTCCTCTGGCTGCAGCAAAGTTACATTGTGCAGAGGACTCATCTGGTTCCTGTGGTCTTATCCCGGTGGTCGTCTGAGACAAGGTCTTTACAGGGGATCTGTATCTGGGGCTCATCTAGTTGTCCTGGTCTCCGCTATCTTTCAGGGCTGTGGAGGTACTTTCTAGGTGCTGATCCACCATCTGGTCTG